GTTAAAATGCGGCTCATATTCGCCACCTTATGGTATGTAGCTAGGAGCATGGGGCAAACAGCACCAGGAGCACGGCAAAGAGGCGCCCGCCCCAGGCGTAGTCTCCCATCCTCTCCCCCAAGGCCAGGAAGGGAGAGAGTGACCCCAGTATGCAGCCAGGAATGCAGCAGTATATACTGGGGTATTTTTTCTTTTTTTCTTTTCCCCCTCCAATTTTTAAGGCAATACGGTACCCTCTGGCATTCCTGAATGGCCTTTGAATCTATCTGCCGTTGTTGTTGTTGTTGTTTAGTCGTTTAGTCGTGTCCGACTCTTCGTGACCCCATCGACCAGAGCACGCCAGGCCGTTGGAGGGAGGAGACTGAAAAGGCCCTACAGGCACTTGGCCTCTACAATTTTTGGCTTAATGTGTATCCATGTCTACTTGGAAATTTTGTGCCAATTAGAACAGGTAAAGCAGGAAGTTCTCCTGTCACCTGCCTCCTCAACTGGCGTGACAAGCAGTTCCCGGGGGTGAGGCACGGTGAAAGATAGAGGAGCACGTGGATGGGAACAGTTGCCAATGCCTTGTCTTCTACAGTACTGAGAAATGACAAGGTCTCTTTCCTAGTGGGCAAAGTGAGAGGGGAAACCTCCACAGGCGAGTCCCTTCAGCCCATTACCACGGGGAAGGCCCTGGGGGAAGAAACTGGCATGCCAGGAGCTGCTGAGGAGTTCCATGTTCTCCCTCCAGAAAGGATGCCCATTCCCCTAGTTACCGTCCCTCATCCCATCGTCATCCCTTCCCCCTCTGGACTGAATGGTACACTGGAAGCTCATCAAGGCTCGGATCTGTCAGAACATTAGAAGCTATAAACTGCCTGCACCCAGGGTTTCCTACCCTTCTGTGAGGCAGCTGCCTCAGGTGACAAATTCTGAGGGGTGGAAAGAGGCCCAAAATGTCTGCCATGTTTTCTGCCCTGCACTCCCTATGCTATTCTGCTGCCCTAGAGTGCAGTTGAGGACTCTGCCCATCAACAGTGCTGAAAGTTCAGTGACCAGCCTAATCAGATTTCGTGCAAATAATGGGGAAATGCGCAAACATGTCCTTTGCCTCAGCTAACAAAATGGCTTGTGCTGCTCCTGCTATCTACCCAAGTATCATCCTGCATATAACATTAACCCTTTTAATATGCATATTGCAAAATGTCCTTGTATGCAATGAATTCCTGCAGGCAACTGAAAAAGATGGCGATGACTTTCCTGTGCTGGTGCTGAGAGACTATGACATTCTGTTCCCAGAAGTTTATCTATCTTGACCTCTTCCTTCCCACTTATTCACAGGCAAGTCATGCCACATTTTTTCAGAGGACTTTCAAATATTTCGTTAGTCTGGTTTCCAAACATCTTTACTGCTATTTTTAATGCCTGGTGTGTTGTGTTGTTAACCTTTTCTTTTCTTTTTTATGCTTAATGTTGGCTTGAGGAGAGATTGTCCTTTACAGGGCTACTGTGAAACTCCATATATAAACTGACTGGGCATTCTGATGTGGACAATATGTTCTCAGGCCAGTTGCAAGCAAAGACAGATTCCTGCATATTCTCCAGCAAGGACAATGCACAGCTTTGTCACATCACCCTTTGCCAACCCTCTGGGGGCAACATGCCAGTGGTAGGTATGGACAAACGTGGATGCGACCACCCTACACTGTCACACATGCACTCACACAAACAGCTTTCCCCCCTTTCCTAGTCAAAAATCAATGCAGTCTTAGGGGAAGGGAGAGATTTGCTTGAGAGATCAGGGCAGACCTGTCTATACCCACTCTATAGGGCAGGGATGAGAATGTCTAATTCCCAATTTGGCAAATGGGCAAGGGTTAAATTCTGCCTCAAGTCAGACACTACAATGAGAGTAATCCAAAATGGTTGCGCCTGCTAGGGCAAGCCATTTGTTCTTAACACATCTGTAGCGTGAATGCAAAAACAACATGTTTGTGCATGTATACACATGCACACTTGTACACATTATCTGGCCGTGTTCCTGGGATGCCCAAGTGCATTTCCTCACCAACTCCTTAGCATTCCTGCTTCAAACAAAGGGAACTGAGGAAAGAACCCGATACGATGACACACAAAAGCAGGTATTGTTGAGTCAACCCCTTCATCCTATTAAGGCCTGGTTATTGTTCAAAATTTCCTAGAAGGTGGTTGGGAAAACCCAGGCTGCATTAGGAATCCTCAGGGGGCCCTATACTTTGTGTTTTGGCACCCCTGCTTTAAGGATGTGAAACCACCACCCCATCCTTTGTAACAATTTCAGGGCATGCGTTATATTTTAGAGAGAATTATTAGCTTTATTCAAGGCCGGCAGTGAGACAGCTCTCGGAAATTATCAGCTCAAAATGCAGCATTATGCCAATTAAGCACCCTGTCTTAGGACACATTTTTATCACAAGATGCAACAGTCAAACAGCTTACCATGTTTCCCTTCAAGTATTAACAGTATAAAGAACAGCAGAAGCTACCTTTAATCATCCAGACAATACCCAGGTAAAATGTAATGTGTTAAAGAGGTGATTCTTAATACAACAAGCATGATGGAATATGCAGGGTGTTCAAGCACAAAGGCAAAATGCTAAAACTATGAGCAGTAGTGTTTTTAAGAGCTGCCTAAAAATAAATCCAAATGAGACACAGAGTTTGAAAGACATTATAGGGCATTTCAGCAGAAATCATCAAGAGAATTAAAAGTCCAAACCAAAGGCAAGAACTATGGTCTAATGTGGCAGAGAGTCCTAACCTTTATATACTTGCTCAGGCACAGAATCAGTGGACCTGTCTCCTGCACCAACATAACAATGGCATGCACTACAGTAAAAATGCACTGCACGAATACAAAATGCTAAAAAGTTGGTAGGGTGGAGGGGTTTATTGAAGCTCTGTGCTGGTGCCCTTTGCTTCTCACCTTCATTCTGCCCCTGAGCTTATACTAGTGAAAAGTCTCTCTAGAGAGGGTAAAATCTTGTAAACCACTTCACCCTGCCAAGCAATGCCATGCCAGGGAAAAACTGCACCAGTAATTTTCCTTTCTCAGATCTGGGTGGTGGCATTGCATAACATGTAGGTACTAAACATGTAGATACTAAACAGATAATAAACACACTGGCCAACACATCTATGAATTAGACACCCACTCATCTGACAGGCACTGTTAACTACTTCCTCCAAATCCAACTAATGTGTTCTAAACCTTCCCCACAGACAGCTCTGTCTATCACGACACAGCTTGGATGAGGAACGCCTAATGAAAGCTCTATCAAAGCTTTCTCTCAGATTGAAACTAGTAGATCTGCTTTGACGTAGTACTTTTAGCTGTGAAAGAAGAGCGACGGGTTGGATCAACAGGAATATATCATGAAGAAGATACATCAGAGGTTCGGTATGTCAGCAGGACTGGATGGGGGGGGAAACTTTTTTTCTTTTCTACTATGTGATTAACCAATAACCCCTCCTCAAGTCAGAACTGTCATCTAACTGACCTAAGCAGGATGATTAAAGACTGTGTGGAAATGAATTCTAACCAAAAGTCTGTTTTAAGGAGATTATTAAGTAAAGAACAAGAGCTTTTGGAATGACGCAGCAATAAAAAGACAGTTGCCGTGTTGGCAGGTTCTGTCGAAAGATTGACGACCGGGAGGAGGAATGGATTTGTTTTCATACTGGATTCCTGGCGAACCTCCTCAGTGGTCTGAGAAAGGCGACAGACCTGTGAAGATTAACAACGGTAAGAGTGTCTTTATTTATGGAAGCGATGCTATACGGAAACCGTCTGGATATGGCCCTTGGACGAACGGAAATATCCACACAGGATTACAATTTGTCTTAACCCGCTTGTGGAGACCATCAGAGGTCACAAAGAGAAAGGAAAAATATATGAAAACAACAAGAAGAGATGTGGATAACAACAAGAAAGGATTGGATAGAATTGTGAACATTATTTGGACAGATTTGTGGACATTAAAGCAGCAGCAAGAAGATGATTGGATCCCCTTCGGAACTTGAAATATGGGTACCCCCAACAAAAATACGGCTTTGTAATTTGGAATTTATGTGATTTGATTTGATTTGATTGGTCGGTTAATAAAAATTATTTAAAAAAAGAAAAAGAAAGAGAAGATTGCCACACTTCTGAACACACAAAAAATATTTAGGAATACACCCATCCCTCTCGCTGTGAAGCACGTGAAATATAGGAGGTACCCACTTAGGGTTAAACAAGGATCAGACAGACGCAGCAACTTGGAGAAAAGAAGGCGAGGTTTATTGCTGAGCAATAACGGACCCAGTTGGAATCCTTTCCAAAAGACTGGGACCCAGAAGCATACAAATCCTGAGAATATATACCTGAGCAAATCACAGATCATGAGACAATCATGAGACAGTCACGAACGCCAGCGAAAAATAACCAATTAGCGCGCTTCTTGCCATGCTCCTGATCTTACACAGAGTTCACTCCTAACATCTGCTTTCCATTGTCTGCACAATGATGCACAGTCTGACCTTTTCCCTAGTTCTGACAGAACAGGGAAATAAGACTCAGGGTGGGAATCTCCTGGCGCTACCTCCCCCTTATGCATCTGCTCTGTAGGGAGTTTTTGTGGTTTGGCCCTTCCTGTTTTGTGGACCATTTTAGCCTGTAGTTGAGGGGGGGATTTGTACCAGCGCCTTGTGATTCATGGCTTCCCTTTTCCTGTAGGGTGCAGGATGTTACTAGATGAAAGGTCGGTTCTGGACTTGCGTTCCAAGCAGTTTGCAGTTAGCTTAGGCAAAAAGCTTTTCTTGATTCAAATGGATTATGATATTACTGTAAGCCCTGCTATGTGTGCATATGTGAATATATTGATTACTGATAACTGATTATATGAATAGCATAAGGGTAGCGCCCCTTTTCTTGCTTCAGCTGAAAAATATACCCCAAAGCTAGAATGTGTTGGAACCTTCTCTTCTGGCTGAATCCTTCACCAGGTTTTCTTCCGGGGGTTGTAGGTCAACAAAAAGTAGAGAGATCCCATTCCAAAGAAAAATGTTTGAACCAACCACAACCGCTGAGTTGAAGGGTCTGTGATGCCTTTCATCCTGCAGTGAAGAGACAGACAGATAAAGCCTGACATTTCTGCATGTATTACTTAAAATCCAAGTTAAGTAGATAGATGTCTATTTTGTCCTCAGCTGCTTGGAGGATGGGCAGAAACTGAAGTTGGGCTGTTATCCACACCCCTGCTCCCTCACCAGAAGCCTTCAGGGAACTTTCCAGGGTGGCATGTGATACACCAATGAAGGAAAGATATCAGCAATGCAGTCACTAGTTCCAGATAACCTCCAAACAGGGTTTTGAATCCAAGTGCATATATCTGGGATTTAGAACCATCATATTGTTACTCCTCTGCTGGCACTCACACAGACCAGCCTACTTACACAGTCACTCGCTCCTTCTTGTGCTTCTTTTATGTTCTTTTATTTTGCTTACTTTATTTATACATCCCGAAGCAATTAACAATACAAAATCATCAACAATAAAGGCATATATAAACACAATGCAGATAAGGGCCAGGACAAAATTCTGATTAAAAGGCTTCTTAGAAGAGGAAGGTCTTTAAGAGGTGCCTAAAAGACAATAGACAGAGTTCTCAGGGGTAGGTGCCACCAAAGTTTAAGGTCCAGTTCCCGCATTATACGGAGCAGATCTCTTGATGAGATGGTATCTGCAAGAGGCCCTCTCCTGCAGAATGCAACCATCAGTTGTATATATAAGGTGCAAGACAGCCTTTTAGGTATCCTGGTCCTCAGATGTATAAGGCTTTGTAAACTAGTACCAGCGCCTTTATTATTATTTTTTAAGAAACCTGACAAAAGGATCAGGGTAAGTTCACCTGCCACAGCTGGGTTGGGTTCCAATGCACAGCACACCTCATTGGTTCAATGCTGGAAAGCACTGGTTGCTTTTTAAAAGGCAAATTCAACAACAGCTCCGAAGTCGGTCCTTGACAGAATTTACTTTAGACCCAGTTCATGCAGATAGGTTGTGAAGATTATTAACACCTGTGTGTCACTTCCATACCACTTTAGGCAGTGAGAGGGAGTGCTCATGCACAACACCCCATATCCGTACCCAGAAAACCAGCTCACAAGCCCAGACGCAGCTTTGCCGCGCTATCTGCTGTTTAGGAGAGGGCAGAGGGAGGTGGAGGTAGAAGAGACCCAAAATAAAATAAAAATAGCTTACTTGCATAGCATGAGGGCACATAATGCTTCCCCGACGTGGCCTAACCAGGTAACTAAACATCTGAAAGGAAGGAAAATAACACGATTTGTAACTAGCGTAAATTAAAGCAAGATAAGGGTTAGCCCAAAACATTTAGGTATTTCCAGGGGAAAACCAAACACATCCCCAATCACCAGCTAATTAACAGGGGACACAACCCTGTTTTTTCTCATGCAAGCCCTTGTGAAATGGACAGGGGTTCACAGAAGCAACGCAAATATGCTTTGTGCAATGCCTGTTCATTTCGGTAAGCATGGCTTGTGCAAGAGAAACACACAACATGTGCAGGAATGGGGTTTTCAAAAAGCAGGCAATCATTCTGCCCTGCCCTTTACATTAATGTGCATATTTCTAATAACAAGTTATGCATAGCCTAAACCGGACCAGAAACACTACACAGTCCGAGTGGAGTAAGGCATGTATGGAGCTGCTCTTTAACCCATAGCTGCCAACCGTCCCTTATTTGGCAGGAAACTCCCTTATCCCAGCGCTGTGTCCCGCTGCTGTCCCTTATTTATGATGTCCCTTAAATTTCCCGGGTTTCATGCTCGCCCGGCTCGGGAGGGAAGCAGCGGCTCGGGGTCCTCCGCCTCGAGAGAGCGAGCGCACGAGCTGCCGTGTCTTCGTCTCTCCCTTTTCCCCCTCAGGGGCACATTGTGAGGAGACGGGTGGTGGGTGGCGGGCAGGCAGCCCCTCTTGCAAGACTTCTGCTGCGCTGCCAGGGGAAGCCGGAGGCGGCAGCGGTGGCTGCGGCTGAGGAGGCGGCCTGAGGGAGGAGGAAGAGGAGGGGATGGGGAGGGACACAGAAGGGCGGCACTTCAGCCGCCGCGCCGCAACCGCCTCATGCCGGGCTCACGGGCAGCATGGGCGAGAGTCTCTCTCCCTCCCTCCCTCTCTCTCAGGCAGGGAAGGGCCGATGGAACTCCTCACCCCAGGACAACGGCAGCCCCAACGTGCTGCTTAGCATACCCTCCAACCAGTGCAGTGATTTCCCCCTCTGCATCCCTTTCATAACTCTATTTTTATAAATCATTTGTCAATCCATAGTTCAAATTTTGCCATCTCGACGTTGTTCATCAGTTTTGTCTGCCACTCTTCTTTGGTGGGAGTTGTAGACCCTTAGGATCATCTAGTCCAACCCCCTGCAAAACACAGTCAGTCGCAGCCATAGCAGCATGGCTCCATGAGTGCGGGATTTCTGTATAAGCTAAGCCAAAATCCCTTATTTTGGCTGCTGATCCCTTATTTTCGAGGCTGCTGGTCCCTTATTTTCAAATCTGTAAGTTGACAGCTATGCTTTAACCCAGGTGACAAAAGTGCTCAGGGAGATAATTATGGGCTGGAAAACTACCAGAGGAAGAGGAACAAAGGCTAGACAGCCTGTCCCGATCCACCCTTCACACATGTGTCGGACTGGTTTTTACAATTAAAAAGGAAGGAAGAAAAAAGAATGAGGCCCTGGGTCCATTGTTAGAAACTCTACAATTCTATGACTCTATAATCTATGACTCTATAATCTCAAAATACATTGCTTGACTGTAGCTTGCTCTTACATTTCACTTGTCCCTCCCAATATGCAAGGAGAAACACATACATATGGCTGCATATTATATTACTCACCCTCCCTCCCACCCCCAAAATCCCCACTGTTGGGTGAGCAGAAGGAATGTGAACAGTTAGAAGATGAGAATTTAGCTTACCCAATATTGAGAAGAGTTTTATGGTTTTCCACCAAATATTTAGTGAAGGTGCCTAATGGTCCCAGAAGGTCATAGGGGATTGTTGAGGGTGAAAAGACTGCCCACTGAGGTGTGAGGAGGGGGAGGGGGAGGGGGAGGGGAGAAAGAGAGATACATTTAAGTAAGCATACAGGAGGTATTGTTTTATTTACTTCAGCTATACCACTTAATATTCCAAATTCCTAAGCGGCATAGAGTGGTACCTCTGGTTACGTACTTAATTTGTTCCGGAGGTCCGTTCTTAACCTGAAGCACCACTTTAGCTAATGGGGCCTCCGGCTGCTGCTGCTGCTGCACCACCGGAGCACAATTTCTGTTCTCATCCTGAAACAAAGTTCTTAACCCGAGGTAATATTTCTGGGTTAGCAGAGTCTGTAACCTGAGACGTATTTAACCTGAAGCATATGTAACCCGAGGTACCACTGTATATACGCGTCAACATAACCCATCATCCTGCAACATCAGAATTCACAACTTTTGTGTTTATCCCCCAGTATCCATACATAATATATGAAATTCGGGGACATCAATACAATGTGGCACAATCCAGAAATTAGCAGCCATTTGACCAGCGGTAGGCAACCTAAGGCCCGTGGGCCAGATCCATCCCAATCGCCTTCTCAATCTGACCCACAGACGGTCCAGGAATCAGGGTGTTTTTACATGAGTAGAATGTGTCCTTTTATTTAAAATACATCTCTGGGTTATTTGTGGGAATAATTTGTTCATTTCCCCCCCCCCAAAAAAAATAGTCCAGTCCACCACATGGTCTGAGGGATGGTGGACCGGCCCATGGCTGAAAAAGGTTCTGACCCTTGCATTTTACAATGCAGGGTGTGGAGGACCCTGAAACACTGGACTTAGGCAAGAAAGCCCACAGCTGATGAGATCTCGGTCTAGATCCCCCTAAAAAAATAAATCACAATTATCATATAATGTACTTCCAGAATAAACCTCACCAGTACAGTGTGTGCTATGCACTAAAGCCGGCTGTCTTCATGAAATGCACTAAAAGTGCACTACGGCGGAAAATATATTTATACTGGACTCCAATCAGGGATTCAGCTCCCAAAAACCCTTGAGTGGGGGGGAGAGACAGAAACAAGAAAAATGGCCTCTATTTCAGAGCAGCAGAAAATAACTCAAGATTCCGGGGTTTGTTTTGTTTTTTTTCCAACCCATTCATTTCAGTGGAAGAGTTTAAACACCTGCTTGAGGCTTCTACCCTTTGCCCAGTTGCAGTGGAGTAATGCCCACTGAACTCAATGGGGCGCCCTTCTGAATACTGTAAATTCTCCCCATGAAATAAATGTGACTTTAAAAAAAAACCACGCTTGATTTGGGCGGGCTCATCCCTAACATCTTCAAAGCTAAGTACGGTACATAGGGATCCCCTCCAAGCCTTCCCATCTCTGGCTCCCACGGCAAGAGAGACATAGCTCAGCCCGTGGAGGACGAGGACTTTAACCTCCAGGTCGCGCGTTCGAGTCTCGTCGGGCGAAATGTTCCGGGTTGGACTATGGTCCTAGCTGTCAACGTTTCTCTTTTTTAAAAGTAAATTCCCTTATTCCGAATAGGATTCCTCGCAAGAAAAGGGAAAAGTTGGCAGCTATGACTATGATCCCCCCCCGGGTGCCCTTTGGAGCCGTGGCGCCCCGCGCTTCCCCGCACCAGGTGCCCCGGGAGCCTCCAGGGAGGCTGCGCTCACCGCGTGGTAGCTCAGGCCGACGAAGATCGCCACCATTACCAACAGGTTGGAGCGTCGGAAGTAATCGGCGCGGTGCTCGGCCTGGGAGTCCATCGAGCCCGCCACCCTCCTCATCTCTTCGGCGATCGGGTCTGTTCCCGCCGCCTCTTGCGAGCAGCCCCAAGCAAGGGCTCCGGAGGGGCGTGGCGACGGCGCCGTATTTGCATTTGGGGAGGAGCAGGGTTGGATTAGGAGGGGTACGCGGGACTCGCTGCCTGCTGCTTTCTTCCTCTCGGGCAACCGCGAGTGCGAGTCTTTGTGGCAAACTGCTGGCGGCAATTCGCACAATTGGAGAGTTGGAAGAGGTCCCCAAGGGTCATCTAGTCCAACCCCGCCTGCAGTGCAGGAATCCCGCCGAAAGCCGTCCCTGCGTGGGCTCGACTGGTTAACAGGGCACTGACCCATTTGTGCCACAATTCAGCACAGTGACAAGCGATACAAGAGGGGGGATCGTAGAATCGTACAATTGGAATCATCAATCATCAAATTTTAGAGTTGGAAGGGACCCTTTTGCCCAACATGGGGCTCAAACCCACAACCCTGAGATCAAGGCACTTATTCTCTACCAACTGAGCTATCCTCAGGCGGGGATCCTGATGATCATCTAGCCCCCCCCCCCCGCAGAGCAGGAATCTTTTGCCTAGCGTGGAGCTTGGACCCACGACCCTCAGATTAAGAGTCCCATGCGCTACCAGCTGACCTGCCCCTGGTGGTGCAATAGTGCCACGCGCACCTCATTCACACAAAATCACCACCCACTCATTCGCCTTTCTGGAGTTTGCACACTCACTGAGTCCCCATCCCTAATGTGCTTATTGTCTGCTCTTCTTGCCTTTTCCAGTGCCCAGTGCTTGATCCCTCTTGCTGTTGGCTATTCTGCAGATTAATTGCACTGCAGAAGGCGTGCTGGGGAGACCACACATTTCAAGAAACGCAAAAGTGACTTTTGCTAGGTTTTAATAACAAAAACAAAAACTCCTTTTACACTAAATTACAATATATCAATATGCATGACCCATCCATCAGGGTATTGAGAGAGCTACGTGCTTAATTAACATAACAGCTTAACATAACAGCTTAATAAACATTAACAGCACCTGCTAAACTGCTTCACAGCTGTAAAACTAGGTCATGTTATTTGCTCTGGCCCTTAAAGACATACACATCTTGTGAAACAATGTTGTTGTTGTTGTTGTTTAGTCGTTTAGTCATGTCCGACTCTTCGTGACCCCATGGACCAGAGCACGCCAGGCACTCCTGTCTTCCACTGCCTCCCACAGTTTGGTCAGACTCATGTTGGTAGCTTCGAGAACACTGTCCAACCATCTCGTCCTCTGTAACCCCTTCTCCTTGTGCCCTCCATCTTTCCCAGCATCAGGGTCTTTTCCAGGGAGTCTTCTCTTCTCATGAGGTGGCCAAAGTATTGGAGCCTCAGCTTCACAATCTGTCCTTCCAGTGAGCACTCAGGGCTGATTTCCTTAAGAATGGATACGTTTGATCTTCTTGCAGTCCATGGGACTCTCAAGAGTCTCCTCCAGCACCATAATTCAAAAGCATCAATTTTTCTGCGATCAGCCTTCTTTATGGTCCAGCTCTCACTTCCATACATCACTACTGGGAAAACCATGGCTTTAATTATATGGACCTTTGTTGGTAAGGTGATGTCTCTGCTTTTTAAGATGCTGTCTAGGTTTGCCATCGCCTTTCTCCCAAGGAGCAGGCGTCTTTTAATTTCGTGACTGCTGTCACCATCTGCAGTGATCATGGAGCCCAAGAAAGTAAAATCTCTCACTGCTTCCATTTCTTCCCCTTCTATTTGCCAGGAGGTGATGGGACCAGTGGCCATGATCTTTGTTTTTTTGATGTTGAGCTTCAGACCATATTTTGTGCTCTCCTCTTTCACCCTCATTAAAAGGTTCTTTAATTCCTCCTCACTTTCTGCCATCAAGGTTGTGTCATCTGCATATCTGAGGTTGTTGATATTTCTTCCGGTGATCTTAATTCCGGCTTGGGATTCATGCAGCCCAGCCTTTCGCATGATGAATTCTGCATATAAGTTAAATAAGCAGGGGGACAATATACAGCCTTGCCGTACTCCTTTCCCAATTTTGAACCAATCAGCTGTTCCATATCCAGTTCTAACTGTAGCTTCTTGTCCCACATAGAGATTTCTCAGGAGACAGATGAGGTGATCAGGCACTCCCATTTCTTTAAGAACTTGCCATAGTTTGCTGTGGTCGACACAGTCAAAGGCTTTTGCATAGTCAATGAAGCAGAAGTAGATGTCTTTCTGGAACTCTCTAGCTTTCTCCGTAATCCAGCGCATGTTTGCAATTTGGTCTCTGGTTCCTCTGCCTCTTCTAAATCCAGCTTGCACTTCTGGGAGTTCTCGGTCCACATACTGCTTAAGCCTGCCTTGTAGAATTTTTAGCATAACCTTGCTAGCGTGTGAAATGAGTGCAATTGTGTGGTAGTTGGAGCATTCTTTGGCACTTCCCTTCTTTGGGATTGGGATGTAGACTGATCTTCTCCAATCCTCTGGCCACTGCTGAGTTTTCCAAATTTGCTGGCATATTGAGTATAGTACCTTAACAGCATCATCTTTTAAAATTTTGAATAGTTCAGCTGGAATATCATCACTTCCACTGGCCTTGTTATTAGCAATGCTTTCTAAGGCCCATTTGACTTCACTCTCCAGGATGTCTGGCTCACTACCTGGGGTATACGAGACATCCATTTCTTTCTGGTATAGTTCCTCTGTGTATTCTTGCCACCTCTTCTTGATGTCTTCTGCTTCTGTTAGGTCCTTTCCACTTTTGTCTTTTATTATGGAAATCTTTGTACGAAATGTTCCTTTCATATCTCCAATTTTCTTGAACAGATCTCTGGTTTTTCCCATTCTATTGTTTTCCTCTATTTCTTTGCATTGCTTGTTTAAGAAGGCCTTCTTGTCTCTCCTTGCTATTTTTTGGAAATCTGCACTCAATTTCCTGTATCTTTCACTATCTCCCTCGCATTTTGCTTGCCTTCTCTCCCCCGCTATTTGTAAGGCCTCGTTGGACAGCCACTTTGCTTTCTTGCATTTCCTTTTCATTGGGATGGTTTTAGTTGCTGTCTCTTGTATAATGTTGCGAGCCTCCACCCATAGTTCTTCAGGCACTCTGTCCACCAAATCTAAATCCTTAAACCTGTTAAATACTGTGTATTCATAAGGGATTTGACTTAGATTGTATCATACCGGCCCAGTGGTTTTTCCTACTTTCTTCAGTTTAAGCTTGAATTTTGCTATAAGAAGCTGATGATCTGAGCCACAGTCAGCTCCAGGTCTTGTTTTTGCTGACTGTATAGAGCTTCTCCATCTTTGGCTGCAGAGAATATAATCAATCTGATTTTGATGCTGCCCATCTGGTGATGTCCATGTGTAGAGTCGTCTCTTGTGTTGTTGGAAAAGAGTGTTTGTGATGACCAGCTTGTTCTCTTGGCAGAACTCTATTAGCCTTTGCCCTGCTTCATTTTAAATGCCAAGGCCAAACTTGCCAGTTGTTCCTTTTATCTCTTGACTCCCTACTTTAGCATTCCAATCCCCTATAATGAGAAGAACATCCTTCTTTGATGTCATTTCTATAAGGTGTTGTAAGTCTTCATAGAACTGGTCAATTTCAGTTTCTTCAGCACCAGTGGTTGGTGCATAAACTTGGATTACTGTGATGTTAAAAGGTCTACCTTGGATTTGTATCGAGATCATTCTATCATTTTTGAGATTGCATCCCAGTACAGCTTTCGCCACTCTTTTGTTGACTATGAGGGCCACTCCATTTCTTTTATGGGATTCTTGCCCACAGTAGTAGATGTGATGGTCATCCAAACTGAATTCGCCCATTCCCGTCCATTTTAGTTCACTGATGCCCAGGATGTCAATATTTATTCTTGCCATCTCATTTTTGACCACGTCCAACTTACCAAGGTTCATGGTTCTTACATTCCAGGTTCCTATGCAATGTTTTTCTTTACAGCATTGGACTTTCCTTTTGCTTCCAGGCATATCCGCAACTGAGCGTCCTTTCGGCTTTGGCCCAGCCGCTTCATCAGCTCTGAATCTACTTGTACTTGTCCTCCGCTCTTCCCCAGTAGCATGTTGGACGCCTTCCGACCTGAGGGGCTCATCTTCCAGCGTCATAACTTTTATATGCCTGTTGTCTTTGTCCATGGAGTTTTCTTGGCAGGGATACTGGAGTGGCTTGCCGGTTCCTGCTCCAGGTGGATCACGTTTGGTCAAAACTCTCCACTATGACCTGTCCATCTTGGGTGGCCCTGCATAGCATAGCTCAAAGCTTCTCTGAGTTATTCAAGCCCCTTCGCCACGGCAAGGCAGTGATCCATGAAGGGGTGTGAAACAATAATGAGCCTTATATTTAAAGAAACCATTCAACACTTGCTTCTGGTTTGCCTTCCTTCTCTTCTTTCATAAAACAAAAAATGGGCCAGGTTTTGTGTGTCAAAAAGGTTGCTTTTGCTGGACAGGTTGGATCAACAAGTGTTTTTCTTTTTTTTGTTTTTTTTCCTGCCTGCAAATTGTTAATGAATGGCAGCCTCTGATTGGCCATGGTTCCAGGAGGGAGAGTTTAAAAGGAGAGGTTTTGGAGAGACAGTTAGTTTGAGAGGGTTGGTTGAAGTGGGTTGGATTTGTGGTTGGAGACGGTGGGAGACAGGTTAGGAGACAGGCTGAGGTATAAAGAGTGAATGGGAGAAAGAGTTGGCTCTGGAAAAAACAACTTCCACTCGGAGCGTATTGTGAAGCGTATTGTGTCGTGTAGGAGGAATAGACCGGAATTTTACTGGGAGGCAGAGAGAGGAGCCTGGAGAAGTAGGAGCTGGAAAGGAACAGCCTACTTGGGACTCAAACCTATCTGGAGGGGAGAGATAGACTCTTCTAAGGAAACCCAGTGAAGGGAGGGGGTGTGGAGAGCCCTGTGGTCTACATCTGAAGGCAGCCCTGTTTAGGGAAGCTTTTAATGTTTGATGTATTACAGTTTTTTAATATTTTTTGGGAAGCCGCCCAGAGTGGCTGGGGAAGCCCAGCCAGATGGGCAGGGTATAAATAATAAATTATTATTATTATTATTATTAGAATGGACCTCCGGAACAAGTTAAGTTTGTAACCGGAGGTGCCACTGTATTACTTAAAGTACCTCAGGAGCAGGATTGTTAAGGGGGGTGGATAACTGAAATAAAGTATCACCAGAAAAAAGAATCAAACCAAACCAATAATGCAAAAACTGAGGACAAATTTAAAGTGAAATCGCACTGTATTTCTGAACTAACCTAAATTGAATCCATTTGTGTTATATACTATCTTGCCTTAAATAAATCTTTATTGTTTATTTAAAGAAAACCTGTCTGAGACTCCAACTTACTAGTTACCCCTTCACAAAGGTCCTCCACAGGATACTCTGGGGCTAGAATTTTTAAGGGAAAAGGGAAAGAAACCTTCAGGTAAGGGTTGTTCAGTGAGGTGGGGGCAATTTATCTAAGTGAGAGCAGGCCCAACGGCATGAGAGGGAAAAGTGCCTTTGCGTCCGTCACATT